TAAAAAACAAGATATTTACAAATAATAAAAGTTGCGTGTAGAATAGTTAACAGTCATCTTCCTAAAAGTCCCTGGCCTCGAGTAAACTCATTCGGTCCGAAATCGAAGGCTAATGTGTTTGGGGAACTCATTCGGCCGAAAATGTCATTTTCATCAAATGGGATTAGTTTCCTCGTGTGACAGAAAACAAATGACATCAAAAACGAATGACATTAGCTTTAAAGGCATTAGAGTTGCCGTGTGACAGGGGTATTAAGCGTAAATCACCTGTGACACAAACCCGCATGCCTGTGGCACATACGCGCCCGCTAGTATGTGCCGCTATCTGCCGGGAAGTGTTTGACGACGTACGCTACGGTATTGTGACATTATCCATGTCTTCCCCAGTGCGTCGTATACGTCAAACCATCTTACCCTCTTTTTCTTCGTTCAGCGAACTGGGAGCGCAGAGAAAACACAAAGGACGAAGCGAGGAACCACACAACACGAGCGCTCAACTATCAACTGATTTATTTTTCACATCGGAAGGACGTATATACACACAAAATGCGCATGTCAACAAAGATTATGACGAAATCAAGGGCAGCATGCGAAGCGTGTAATCAAGGCACTTGTCTAAGGGTTATCTAGGTAGCTGAATTCACAGTCAAGTAGTGATAAGGAAGGATGACTTATACATTGGTCCGTATTCCTGGAAATGTGATAGGCTTCAGAAATTTCGCGCGTAGTTTGATGAGGATGCCGGAACAGAACAATTGTATTCTCAAACAGAGGTTGGCACTTGCACGAAACGCAATGTGACGCTAAATGGGAGTAAGGTGTATTTTTCAACGAGCTTCTGTGTTCCCTGAGACGCACGTTCACAGATCGGCCGGTCTGGCCAATGTACATACGTCCACAAGAAAGGGGTATCTTATATACTACTCCGGTGATGCACTTAACAAACTTAGTTACGTGCTTCTGGAGGCATCCTCTACCTTTAGATGCATTATGTGCCCTCCTGTGCACATAATGCATCTTATGTTTACTGCACATAATGCAGTTTGTTAAGTGCATCACCGGAGTAGTATATAAGATACCCCTTTCTTGTGGACGTATGTACATTGGCCAGACCGGCCGATGTGTGAACGTGCGTCTCAGGGAACACAGAAGCTCGTTGAAAAATACACCTTACTCCCATTTAGCGTCACATTGCGTTTCGTGCAAGTGCCAACCTCTGTTTGAGAATACAATTGTTCTGTTCCGGCATCCTCATCAAACTACGCGCGAAATTTCTGAAGCCTATCACATTTCCAGGAATACGGACCAATGTATAAGTCATCTTTCCTTATCACTACTTGACTGTGAATTCAGCTACCTAGATAACCCTTAGACAAGTGCCTTGATTACACGCTTCGCATGCTGCCCTTGATTTCGTCATAATCTTTGTTGACATGCGCATTTTGTGTGTATATATGTCCTTCCGATGTGAAAAATAAATCAGTTGATAGTTGAGCGCTCGTGTTGTGTGGTTCCTCGCTTCGTCCTTTGTGTTTTCTCTGCGCTCCCAGTTCGCTGAACGAAGAAAATGAATTACCAACTGGCCCACATTTTGATCCATCTTACCCTCCCATACTAATTTTGGTTGACGCCACATTGAGGGGGTGATCCCGAGAGAACTCAGACGTAGGTGGATAGATAGATAGATAGATAGATAGATAGATAGACGCTAAAAGAGTTTGCAGTACGCAAGAAAATGCTTCGCATAAAAAATTAGGCACATTTACAACCACTAATAGGCCTTAGAGCATTTATATGCAGTTCGGGAAACAAAGAAGCTGAACTAGGAATTCATACAGACGATAAAAAACAAAAGAAGGAAAAGAGGTCAACGCATAAGTAAGGACTTGCCTTGATTGGTGCATGCTCTCGACAAATATCTGCGCGTGCCCTGCAATATTGGGACAGGTCCGGTAGTGGTTTAACGTTAACCAGGGTGAGAAAGATCGAAAGGGGCGAAAAATCCGGCACACTCATGATGTTCTATCCGGCAAATATGCAATAAAAAATCTGCCGTTTGGAAGACCACGTTTAACATTGCCTAAAAACAAAGTGTCGGCAGAACGGATGTGTTTTTCACGACATTACTGCAGCACGTTGTCTGCAATTCGTGGTCACCCAACATGGCAGAGGGAAAACTGAAAAGCATTCTCAGCCTCCCTCCCAACTGCGCTCGGCGTTCAATCACGGCGTTTCGTTCGCCCGACGAGTCGCATCATCCGTCCAAGTCACTCTCCATCAGCTCCCAACGGGCGAGCATGGGACGCCGAGCGTCAAAACAAGCGCAATGAGAGGGAACAGTACCGTAGCAAAAACAAGAGACAACCGAGGATGAAAGGAAGAAACAATGAGACGAGAAAAAAAAAGGGAGATAGAGAGACGCTAGCGTCTGTCGTTTCCGACCCGTGAGCACAACAATATATATAAATAAAACTACCTCTTGGCTGCTCTAAGCTGAGCGCTGAAGCAGCGAGCCCGTCGCTAGCAAAAGACCCCACCTCGCGCGTCAGACAGGTAGCCGATCGAGAGGAAACAAAGCCACACCGTTTCGTGGACACACACACTGGCCAGCGATAACAAGAAAAATGCGTCTACGGGATAAGCGTGGTAGCTAAGTAATAATAAAAGGTTAGATGGCGGATATGAAGGGGGAGGGGAAGTGTTAGGGGAATGTAAAAGGGGAGAAGGGTGATTGGACCAGGAGGGGAAGAGAATTATCAGAAGCCTGAAGACGGGAAGCGAGGTTGAGGGAGTGGTGTGGAAGGCTTGGAAGGGGTGTCACAAGGAAGGGGGGGGGGAGGTTTAGGGGAGTTACCGATTGCCTCCATCTTTTTCCGCTCCACGGGGCGCTTTCCTAATCACCGATTCCGTGCGGCCTGCCGAGGAAGCCGGAGCGCAAATCGATAACAGGGGCGCACTGCAGGCTGAAGCTGCAGCCTCCGCCATCCCTCTGGCCACTGCCAGAAAATTTGCCCAGGCGGCGCTACAAGCCTCGTGACTACAGCGTGCCAGGGGCGGGCTTCGAAAGTGCGCGATGACTACCACGCCGCAGATGACGGCTGAAATAAAGCAGCACTCTCGACAGGCTTGAATCCCATTGTCCCTCTTTTACCTTAACTTCGTCCTGCCCGACTCCTCCTTACCATATATTTCGCTGTTCTCTCTTTACCGTCCTGAACAACTACTTCTCTCTCTCTCCATTTCCCACTGCTTCCACTTTCCACGCAGACACTCCAGCGCACCCTCTTTCTTTCACGGGGTCCATCATTCCTGATGTCACATAGTTTTGTTCCTACTGTTGTTTTGACTTGCCAAGAAGCGAGTAGCTTTCCGTATGTAAACGACATCCACTTCTGCAGATCGGCTAAAATGCTCGAAGAGAGCCCGCGCACTCTCTGTTTTCCCACGCGTAAGTCGCCGCGTGTGAACCTATACGGAATGCCAAGATTTGCTGCCGCTCGTGCTGGCGCGGGCTTTGTCGAGCGCCGTGACTGAGGCGCGGTTCTGTAGAACGCCGTCAGCCGCGCATTATATCTGAGTGGAACACTCGTTTGAGAGATCTGGGGAAGCAAAGAACGACGACGTCGTTAAGAGAGCGCGTGCTCGGAAGTGGCTTGGGCGAGTATCGAGGCACTTAAATCACTCGCGTACAAGGCGCCGTACTTCCGGAATCATTCGCTCGGTCCTGGACTGCGCGTTCACTTAAAGAAATGCGGGCGGTTAAGCAGCCGAACGATGAAGGAAGACTGGCGCTTAGTACTGGGATTGTACGTTCGCGCTGTTTTATTATTATGTTCGACGGAATGGCAATGGGCTATACACGTGCGTCTGGTTTATTCATGTTCAAATATGAGTGCGCAGGCATCGTCGCGTGACACGCGCAATGCACCACAATATCTGACCAGAACTGCTAAGGCAATAAAAGGAAAACGGAAGATAATGTTATCGAATCTTGGAAGTTTCATAGTGTTGTCGAAAGTGCGGTTGCATAGCTATGGTAGGCACCTTCCGGGGCAACTTGCCTTAGGCAGGCTTCTTGTCGGAAAAGCAATCGCGTTATTAAGACTAATAAAGCGTTTTAAAATAGCGAAAAAACAACCAGTCTTCACGATGCAAATAGCGTAACAAGTGGGTCGTCCAATGCCCCAACCAATTACAAAAGCTTGTTCTTGTTTCCCTATTAACTGTGGCTCATGTCCACTTGAGCCACAATTTCTCATCGTCGACAGCCACTGCCTGAACAATTGGTGCAAACTTCTTTGCAAGTGTTTAGCGGATATGTCGCTTCTCAGAAGACTGACGAAAAATAGCATAGCGAATGCTGACTTACTACCCAAAAGTTTATTATTAATGCCCTGGGTATCAAGCAAGTGGGCTTGCAGTATAGTTACCCTATGAGTGTTTTGAAAAGACTCTGAAAGGCAGCTCTTCTGGCTTTCGCAGTGAATGTGCTGCGCTTCCGCGCAGGCCGCGCATTTTATTTTTTTATGTACACACTCCTTGCCTTAGCGAGAACTTTAGGTTACTTTTTTTTAACATGGCTGACTTTTCAAACAGGTCAGGCGACTGCTTTTTAAGGTTTTTTTCCGCTACGAAACACTGCTTGAAACATGTTTAAAAGTTTCCTATCTGGGCTGAAAGTTATGCAATTGTAGCGTCTGCTGTACCTCTAATTGGTATACATAGCTATACTTTAATTCAATGGCGCAGATACTAATAAATGGACCTGAACACAAAACGAAGAGAAGTGCGCATTCGCAAAAAAAAAAAAAAGCGAAGGGGGGGGGGGGTCTCGACTATAACACATATTCAACAACATGAAATTGTTAGTTATTTTTTGTTAAATATCCGTATATAACCTAACCAAAACTCCCGATTAGCCAATGCTGAGAGAAATGCGATCGCGAAAAACAAGCAACTCCGAAGTCAAAACTTTTTCAGAACGAGCAAGTGGTACTCACCGCCATAATTTGGCCTCACCCTCTTGTCGTACCCACGTGTAAAGAAGGCATTCAGAATCTGCGTGATGTTTTGTCCACGTTGCGTTTGTCTGCAAAAGCAGAATGAAAAAAGAAAAGAAGGCACAAGCAACGTCAGGAGGAGCGTAACAAGTACGATAAGGAAGCACAGTTGCGAGTCGATAGTGCACACTCTACACTCGCAGGGAAAGAAAAGATATGTAATCAGCACAGATCAGAAGCACGAAGCTTAAGATAAAGCGGGCGCCAAAGCTTCAAAAACTACGAAACGTGAGTAAACTTTGAATTTACCAGCAAGCTGCGACTGTGTTCGGTCGAGATGCACAGCACATCTTGTCAGCGCAATAATAAATTCTTTCTTGTGCGTATAGGTTAGCCAACCGAGCATGTGCCTGGTTAACCTTCCTGCCTTTTCTATTGCTGTTTTCCCCCTTCCACCTTATTATTATTATTTTTTTTGCGTCTCGTGGTCTCTAAACTTTTCACGTTAACTGCACCTTCAGAATCGTTATAACTGCTTCAGCTATTTTGGAACAGCCTTCTTCACAAAGGTGTTGTTTCCCCACTAAGAGCGCCTTGATGTAATGGAAACCGCACAGGAAAATTATAACGCGGGTAAAAGATCAGTGAGCTTTGTGCCATTTCGATGAGTACATCTCAAAATGACAGGATTAGTAGTCAACAAACAGATCGTTGAACGCGCTAGATCTAGTGAAGCTTTTACGTGACACCCAATTGGTTACTTTGTTTTTGTCGTATTCGGTCGATGGTGAGTGGAATTTCAAATGAAGGAAGCAAGAAAACGTTATGCGTATCGTAGCAAGTGAAATACTTGCGCTGCTCAAGAGTAATTTGTTTCCAGATAACCTTCGAGTGACCGTTTTTGAAGGCATGTTGCAAAACTTCTTGCATTCGGCCCTCGAACATTACTCAAATTATTCTATTCACACCAGGCTCGCACAATCTCAAAGCCACAGCATCGATTTGATTGATATGTGCGGTTGAACGTCCCAACAAAAGAAAAAAAAAGACCACAGGATAGTACACCGCAAAAAAAAAAACCCGAATATTTTTTACATATCTGGTCTACTGAAATATCTCTTCTATTTGCTTGCGGCTGACCAGATAGGAGCTAACGCGAAGAATATTGGATTAATTTAAAAAGAGAGTGTACCCAAACTGTTCGCGTAAAAGAAAACACTATTGTTGGCATAGTACTGAGCCTGTTTTTGGTTTCTATGTTTTTTTGGTTCACCTATCTTTGGTTTCTATATTTACAAATATATCTGTCTTGTACCACAGGTTGATTGCAGGGTATTACGTCCTAAGAAGATACAACTGGCCAGATGTAAAATTTGTAGATGTGTGTATGTGCACGTCAAGCGCGTACATAAGGTGTAAGAGTGCACTCTGTTCGGCAATTTACTGCCAAACACATATTTTTAACACACGTGTTCTGTAAATATACGACTTTTTATTTACACACGCAACCTGTGTTTTATCTGATACGCGTGTTAGGCATCATTGGTGTTCCTGTGGTGATAGCAGTGTGAACTATCGTAAGTGAGCTATACACATAGTAACATGATTGATATGTGGGGTTTAACGTCCCAAAACCACCATACGATTATGAGAGACGCCGTAGTGGAGGACTCCGGAAATTTTGACCACCTGGGGTTCTTTAGTGTGCACCCAAATCTGAGCACACGGGCCTACAACATTTCCGCCTCCATCGGAAATGCAACCGCCAAAGCCGGGATTTGAACCCGCGACCTGCGGGTCAGCAGCCGAGTACCTTAGCCGCTAGACCACCACGGCGGGGCTGCACATAGTAACACAGCGTTGTATTTGTGCACTTGGCTTCTCTGTCTGTTCATCACGCGGAACAAGAAGCAGTTCACACTTCACTATAGTGAAGTGTAAAATGCTCATTTGTGGATATATATCGACAAAACTTTTTTTAATCGTTTCAATAGAAATACCTTTGGAGATATAACATTTTTTTCCCAGGAGTATAGAGATTCGCGGTGGCACGAGGCGAACTAATTAATGTCCATTGTTGACACTCACGCAATACCGAGGTGCCTACTGTGAGTAAGGAACTTCATTATTTTCCATCGTCAACCACACTCGGAGAGTGCAAATAAGAAACCGGAAACAGACAAGTGTTCGCGGAAACTTCACCTGCCACTTCCACTTTCACTAGCGTTGGAAATTCATTCCTATTTTACTTGGCAGCGCACGTCGCTTCCTGCGTACTTTATTTTTTTTCCTGTTCCCGGCCCATCTTTCAAGAAGTGGCAATTTCGGTGAGTGCCAATGTGTAGCTGCATATCTGCCCCGATATTTGTCGACAGAAGAACCCCGCCGTTCTGCGTATTCACGTTCGACTATCAGTTCTTGGCCAGATTTGTATTAAACTTCGCGTCAAGCGTGTGTTTAAGAAGGGATATTACAGCAGGCTCCACACGCTGACGCGACCTTTCAGCACCGTCAATGTATCGGTTAAAGCGTTCGTTTGTCTTATCACGCTGCCAATTTCGCTTCGGGCTATCCTTGCATCGTCTTTCAATAAAAATGGCTAGAATAGTGAACTTTCGTCCACCGCAATGGGGCAGTAGTTATAGTGCTCACCTGCCAACCCGAAGGACGCGGGTTCAATTCCGGCCACGGCAGTGGCAAATTGATGAAGGCAAAATGGTTTAAGCTCGTGTACTGTGCCACGTCAGTGCACGTTAAAAAACACCAGATTGTCGAAATTTGCGGAGCCGTCGACTACGGCATCTCTCATAATCATATCAAGGTTTTGGAACGTAAAACTCCAGATAATATCATTCACAGAGAGCCTTCTATTTAGTCACACATCACTGCAGTCAGCAAGATGAAAACTGTAACATAATTGAAGCAATGTAACATCCCGGAAAAGTTCTTACGAATTAGAACGCGAATGTTTAAGACTAATAAATGCAAGTATTTCGTTACCCTCGTCTACAGTGCGCGTTATGTCGGAGTTCTTGCTGGAACGCTCACGTAAGAGAAAACATTACTTTTAGAAGCAATATTTGTAGCAACGTGACGCCGTTATCCCGAGTGACTCCTCGTTAAACGATGTCTTATTTCAGTCCGTCAGTATCGTACATGTTTGTTTCGGGAAGCGCAATGCCACCACAATTGCACACAGTGCAAACACCCAAACACGTACACAAACACACACGTGCGCGTGCATTTACTTATTCATCTACTTACGCACTCAACCCTCCCCCTCACCCAAATATGCACACAACACGTACACTTAGGTGTGCGCGCAAGCGCACAAACTTTAAAAAGTGAAGGCACACCCACACACTCGCACATACGAAGCCAGACGCAACCACGCCCATGACTCATGAACACCGGTGCTAACGTATACACGCAGGCACACGAACACTACCCTTTTTTAATCCTCATCACCCATTAAATCAAAAGCCAGTACAGACGTACACAAAATCCTAAAAAGAGCAGAGCAAAGCGCCTACACACTAACTCACGGAGCGCATGAGCTTACGCAATATGCCAAAACATAACTCAACGGAAGGCCAGCGAATGTGACGTCAAAGTCGATACATTTTGTGCTGAAACGCACCGATCGGAAAGCCAATCGTGATTTCCTTCTAGCGTCGTTAAACTAGGCTGGTTTGAAGATCGGTAGAAAACGGGGGAAAAGCAGAAGGGGAAGCCTATACTATATTCTGTCGTGGTGCCTTCTTCAGTTTTCAGAAATAGGAGAGGAGCTGAAGCGAGATCTGCGGCGACGTGAATTGAATTTGCGCAAGCGTCGACAGCCGTCACATCTTTTTTTCGGGCGTCCATTCGTTCAGAATTCATCGCCGCAGGAAATTAAATTTTTGTTGCTCAGGCATGAATGTCTGTTCGCAAGAGAGCGCAGAATTCACGACCAATATTTTCACTCCTAAAGAGAGAACAGCACGCATTTTATTTTTTATTTCCGCCGTCTGTCGGAATGGTTCTGCCACTTTTCGAAATTCTTGAGCATTATTAAACTAATTTGTCAGCGTTGAGCATACAGTATTCTAGGAATGAATATAGAACGAAAAAAAGCGCACTTTTGAATGAAACGCGTGAGGACACTTCTTCGAAGTCTTGTCACAGTATCGTCACCAATTTTTGCGAAATCTGTACGACGATACATCCGTTTCGTTAGCGTAACCTTGCCATCGTGTAACGTCATTGAAACGATGCCATACTCATGACCTCGGATATTTCTTTCGTCCTTAAAGATGAAGCTAAAAGCAATGTGTAATTCGCACTTTATTGTAGCGCTTACACTCTCACAAATTTTCACGATTCATAGGGCTGTATATATAAGAAGGTGGAGGGGGGGGGGGGGGGTGTTCCCATATTATGCGAGTCGACGTGAAACCATGTTTGCTGCCTTTTGGGCAAGTGAACAGCTTTCTTTGACCTTTTTGACCTGTGTTACTTTTTAGTGGTTTTGGGAACAAGGCGAAATAGATGGCAGGGACGAAATTGATGCGCTCTCAACGTTGATAGAAACCCGCCAATGCAAAGGTGTAGGTGTTTAGCGGAGCGGCGAATTGGGGGCCGAATTGGGGCCGAATTTGCTACCGTGCGATCACAGTAAAGTATTTTAGAGTTCGAACTAATTATCTTCCTTGATGAGCCCATGTTGAGTTTTTCCTTAATTGCGAAGTCATTCAAGCTGGCCGTAATTTGTGCGGCCGACGGGTATGTGCTCCGTGGTCTACGTGAAAACTATTGTCATTATAAGCAGGTGTATGCCACACTGAGTAGCTGAACCTTTCACTTAATAGCTGAAATTTTCATCCATTTCAAGGTACAAATATTAATCCCGTTACAATGCGCGATCAAAGTTCATCACACGCTGAATATCCAGTCTTGTTGGTTGAAGATATCATTTTGTGCCCATGTCGGATGTGACAACTAGGTGGCTCATGCTTGCACTTTGTTGCAGGCATAGAAAAAGATGCACATCAATGGGAAAGAATGACTCACGTGCCGGCTAACCACGCTCCCCAAACTACATCTCTTA